CACCGTTTTGCGCCCAACACCGCGTGGTGCGAGTGGGCCCGTGCCAACGGCTGCCTACCCACCCAAGAGGAGGAGGTGGATGCTGCCCAAGCATTCGAGACCATGATGCAAGAAAGAATGTTGGCAGACGAGGAGGAGGGGGAGGAGGAGGAGGAGGATGCGAACGAGGATGATCAGACAAATGACCTGAAGTGCAGCAATTTCGATGACATTGCCGCCTTGAACCTCGAGGTAGATTTAGCCTGGAGACGTGCATTAAGGCAGAATTGGCCAAATGGTCGCAAGTGCCTTTAGGAATATGTGTCGATCCATGTGTTGACCCTCAACTTTTTGTTTTTGATGTTCACTGTGATGGTGTCACCTTTAGGGTTGAGGCAAGTTCAACCTGCTCGCCTGCAAGTAAGAAACGCTGGCTGACCCATTCCTAACTACTCGTAGCTGTCGATTGAATAAAAATGGAAATCAGTAATGCCCATGCAGCAACCTAAGAGCTAGAAACAAAACACTTCACCGCTTACGCGAATGCACAAACATTCTCCAAATTCTAGGAGTCCAATGAGGATAGGATTGATGGATTGTCGGCTACCACATCTGAAACTGTGCCGTCCTTCGCCAAGTATCGCTATCCCATAATTGATGGCGAGGAAGATTACGACAGTTGGGATCCTTACGAACGCAAATACACTGGACTAGAAATGGCATCCCAACGTATTACAGTTTGGGAACCAGACAACTACCGAAAGCCACAAAGGAATTCTGTTTTCTACTTCATTGAAGTTTTGACAAGTCAACATCATCGAGACGAACTGGGTCAACGCTACACTACCCTCTTTACCGAACCCGTGTTGCACGAAAAACAAATTCATGCTCATTCTGGGCAGACATCTAGCGCCTGCCAATGGTTCGCCTTTTACACGAATCCATGTCCCTCCTATTACTCATATCAATCATACCCTTCTTCTGTCGAGCTTAACAAGTTGTTTGAAGATACGTCTAAGGAATTGTTACTTGCCGACTTTTGGAGTTGGTCCGAACTTGATGGTCAGTGTACTGGGAACATTTTCCGAAGACTTTTTTTCGAGGGACAGCGACATCGCGGAGACTTCACCTGCTTCCTGGATGCTGACAGTGACAGCGATAGCAAAAGCGAAGGCTTCGGACGTCTCTTCGACCTAACCTCATCTGAACACGAAGACGCTCCTATCGAAGTCGAACGACGATACGACAATTCCGAACAGCCTAGCTTGGATTTACAGAGCGAAGTGTCCAGCAATCAGGAGGATTTGCCTTCACAGGTCGACTCCTCACCATCGACTGATGCTCAGAGAAGATACTCAGAAGAGCACTCCAACCAAAGTGCACGATGTCTTCCACCTCCATCTTCTGCAACTTATTCGGAGAACGATGAGTTTTGTCCTCTAATGAGGGACTGCAAAAATTGCCACTATGATTTCAATACCACGAAGCAGTTAATAAATACGGAACTAGCTCCTCAACTGAGGTGGATGTTTCGTCAGACCCGATGGCCCATTCGATTCGCACCACAGCAGA